TCACTGCTAAAGTGATATTTCCGAGAATTGCCAAAAGCAGCAAAACTGAAGGTGAAGGTGGAAGACACATTCCCAAGCGCATCTTTGCGAGTCTGGAGGTACACTGTTCTTCGAGTCTATCAGGAGCTTATTTTATTACAACCCTTTTAACTGGTATCATACGTCCATTATCAGACTACTATCTTTCTTGAAGAATGCATTGTTTTCAGCTAAAATTACTTTGATAAAGTCAGGCAATGCATGATCGGGAGCAGAAATAACAGCGCAACGCTAAATTATCAAGTCTGAACACTCTACTGAATTGACAACCCCAAAGTTTTCTTCTTTTAATTTCTCTTCAATGATTTCTTCTTTTCTCATGATCTTCCCACTTCTCCTTTCATCAAATTATTTTTATATGCTACATCTTTCTTTTAAGTTCTTAGTTGTACATAATCACTGCTACATGTTAAAATTTAAGATCTTAATTGCACTTTACTCTTTAAGAGGCTGTCTCTGTAAAAACCGACCACTGATTTTACTTCGAAAATTCGATTTTTCTCATAAGGTGGGATTTCGAAGCCATTACCTAGTCAATCACTAAAATGAGTTTTATTTGATTAAAAATTCTAATTGAGGTTTTCTAGGGTTGATTGAAGTTCGTTCCGCTCGACACAAGCTGCATGCCTGCCGAAACTGGAAAAATAGTACATATTGCACATATGGTTGAAAAAAAGAATTGGGACTTTTGAACGAATATTATTTTTTTAGAGCGCCGGCAATATGTGCTTAAAAGGTTCTGATATTTCTTTTTTAGACGTAGAGAGAGCGACTGTCACAGGTAGTTCTGAAGGATGGAATGACACAGACCTTCGTGGCTCCCAAACAAACTCGCAGGCTATCGCGACACACAGTTTTCCAACAATCTTTTGAAAGAATTTTATTCATATATGCTGGTTCGCTGGTTCCAAGCAAAACACTTTTTGGCAGGTACTTTACACAGGAAAAATTAAGGCCATGGGATTTTTTTTAAAAGAGAGGAAAAAATTGAAAACGTTATCTTTTTCTAGGATCGCAAAATATGACAGGCGTTGGTAATCGGCTGGAAGAAGGCTACATCCCTCGCCCTAATGATGGGAATGTTTTAGCTGGTGTGGTTGAAAAAATACTTCACTTGTTAGATCACTGAGTAGAAAGCCTAATTAATGAAGTAAAGGCACATGATCAATCATTGTTTAATACAAATGGCAGAAATGTTAAGCATGAGTGGCGAATGTTTCATCACATCAGCAATGTCAAACTGAATCACCATCAGATATGAGTAACGAAATGTCCTCGTTGCTATCAAAAGTTGAACAAGCGGCTGAGAAGTTAACAGGAGTTTAAAAAAATAAGAGTCAGGATAGGAATTCTGCTTTCAAAAACAGGAAAAATGTTACGGAAGAGGGGCCGGGGAGGGGGGGAGTACATTTTTATAACTAAGAATTGGGACGCCGGGTATAATTTTTGTCTGAAAATATTTGGGCGGGGGGGTCAGTTTTCAAACACTACACTTTTTTGGAAAACCACCGCCCTCCCCTGGGACGTAATAAACGATCGGTCCCTGAAGATGGCTTGTAGCTCGCGCTTCGTACAAGCCACAATTGCACAATATGATGGCCGTCGATAAAACCAGGAACATGAAACATTCCGGAACATCCCGGAACATCGAATAATTATAATAATTATGCGAAAAATGTGTAAATTTAAATTTTCAAAAATTAAATTAAGCAAAAACAAATTGGTATCAGCTCGGAAAATAAAAAAGAAAACAAAGACAAAACAAAAACTGCAATGAGTGAAGAACGCTCGTACCCTGCGAGCAGGCGTAGGAGAAACCAACGGCTCGCAGGGTAGAAGGCTCGCAACTTAGAAGACTAATCCATTCCTTCCAGTCGTTGGCAATCAGGTTAATCACGTGACTGTCCCTTATTCCCAGATTTCTTTGTTCATAGAAAACCAAGGTGGTGGCGTTCGAACTCTTTAATCAGACCGAAAAATACGGGGTACACGAGTGTGACTTTTTTATTCAAATCATAACGTCAATTCGAAGATATGCATATACATGCCGACTCCTCATAAGGAAATAGTTTCTCCATGAGATAGAAATAGAAACTCTTCGGCATTGAGTTTCTTGTCTTGTTCGGACTGCTCAACCACTGATGACAGTGTAAACAAATACAAACACAAAATTTAAAAACATTTGGTGACGCGCTGTCTTGCAGGGTCGCTGCTCAAAACTTTATTGTCTCAAGAAATATTTGTTACAAGTGCTGGCGATCTGAAATTGAATTCTAAGTGTCGCCAAAGCACATGTACCGTAAGAAGAGGCTCTGCTTGCAGGGTGACGGTTGAAATGCCATTCCTGGAAAATGTTTTGTCCAGTACAAGTTAATACTTATTAATAATTAATTTTACCGCAGGCTATAATCTATTCATCCCTAGTTCAACTTCACACGCAGATCGTCATCTGACATTCTTAGTTTTCTATCGAGCCATTCAAACGCCACCAAAGTAGACCAAACATTTGAAGTACGCGCGTGAATGCACTGCTCTAATCTTTGATTACTACTAGTTTATTAATGATAACTTGCTTGTTGCTCGGGCTTCCGGAAAGGCCGAGTCTGCACTTGGTGGGTCATAGTGCCAGGTGTTCCTAGCGGAGAGCGCNCTACTAGTTTATTAATGATAACTTGCTTGTTGCTCGGGCTTCCGGAAAGGCCGAGTCTGCACTTGGTGGGTCATAGTGCCAGGTGTTCCTAGCGGAGAGCGCGAAAACTGGGGATGATAAATGCAACCTGAAGACGGAACAGTAGTGACAAAAGTATGGCCCTCAGATGTTGAAGAAATCAGAGATCAACAAAGGAAACGCAATGAATTACCTGGCATTCATCCTCAGAATCGTCCGTGTTTGTGTTGACAATCAGAGTGCTGTAAAGCCATGTGACGCAATGAAAGAAGGAGCCTGCACTCATTGTGGTCAGTTGAAGGAATACCCAACGCTCCCTACCCCTCCCCTACCGACTCCCTACCCCTAAAATATCTTTTCATTTTTCGAGCTGATACCAGTTTATTTTTGTCTATTTTATATTTGAAAATTTAATTTTACATATTTTTCTCATAATTGTCATAATTATTCGCTGTTCCGGGATGTTCCGGAATGTTCCGGAATGTTCCGGGAAGTTCCATGTTCCAGGTTTTACAGACGGCCCTATATGATGCCGTCTTAAAGGGGCGTCGATAAAACCAGGAACATGGAACATTCCGGAACATTCCGGAACATTCCGGAACTTCCCGGAACATCGAATAATTATCATAATTATGCGAAAAATATGTAAAATTACATTTTTAAAACTAAAATAAACAAAAATAAACTGGTATCAGCTTGAAATATGAGAAGATATTATTGGGGATAGGGGAGTCGGTAGCAAAGGGGTAGGGAGCGTTGGGTATTCATTCAACTGATCACAATGAGTGCAGGCTCCTCTTCTTTCCCGCCAATTACGTCACGTCGCTTTTCAGCACTCTGTTTTTCAACACAAACATGGACGATCCAGACGATGAATGCCAGGTAAATCTTGCTTCTCCCTTTTTGATCCCTGATTTCTTCAACATCTGAGCTGTTTGCCTGTGCATCATACAGTTGCTTGTTAAGTCAGTATTCATAGTTTTGTCCCTATTCCATCTTCATGTTGCTANAGTGTTGTAATAAGAATTATAAAAATTAAGAAAGTTATTTTAATCCTACTTAACAGCATTTGTGCCATTAATGCTACAAAGAGACTACTTTCGTGGCAAGAGGTTACATAGTTATGACAACCACTGACCTGGGAGCCCAAAAAATCTATCTCGACATAACCAATCAGGTTGCCTTCAGGCGACTGATGCATGATGTTAAATGCGAAACAGATCAATGATGTGGAAATCTAATTTAACACTATAAATTTACTGTTAAAAGCTCATGTATGCTGCCAGAGGGCACTATAGTGCCGTACACATTGTAATATACATAAACAATAGCCTCCATTTGGCGCGGAAATATGCTAGGATCTTTGTCCGCGGACATTCTCTCTTCCGACGGAAACGAACAGTTTTCCGAGAGCGTAGCGCGAGGAGAACAGAACAGAACAGCTTTGAGGAACAGATAATGTCCAAGGACAAATATCCGAGCATATTTTCGGGCCAAATGGAGGCTATTGTGTTTATTATCCTCCAAATATTTTTCGCCACACGGGGCTTTGAAAATTGGGTTTTAGCTGGGGAATATTCAGTCACGTGGCACGTTTAGACCATTTGCGCGTGAGCGAAAATATATGACGGATTATAACGCTGTATATACTCAGCCAAATTTCCATCTCGATATGAGGAAGTTTTCTTGTTGTTTTCCCCAGGCGTTTTTCTTTAGTTTAAGCGCGGTCCGTGTTGTTGTGGGCCCGGTGTACTCGAAAAATCGGACGCCGTTCCACGGAACGCAATCTAACCGTCAAGCACCGTCCTCCTTGTTTCCCGG